CCTTTTATTGTATGTATCCAAAACGTGAAAAAATTGAAGGGTTGCGTTCTTTTACAGGGTGCACATTTGAGTCATCTGAGGAGCTATTTTATTTTCTGTAAACCTGAAATGTTGTTGTTTTTTTCCCCAGAAATTATGACTTTTAGAATATTTGAACTACATACAGAGTCTTCCCATTAAAAGTTCAAATTGTTACAAACCTAAAGGGTTTTTGGAATTCAGAAACACATTTTCTCTCAATGCAGTCACAGGTGTGGAGATCTTAAAATATAAATTTACTTTTAGAAATGTCTGTATATAAATGTTATTGTATTTCAACGAATAAATGTTATATTGAGTAGGAGGAATGTTGTTGTGTTGATACCTTTAAAAAAGCAAAAACAGAAATGGGCGTTATGATCATTTATATGTTATAACGGCCTGCCATACAGTGGTTCACGCCTCTTGATTTCGAGGTGCGTTCAAGTTCTTCGGCAAATTATACAGATACAACAAAAACATGTAAAATCCTCAAATATATATTTTTATCGCCTTTAAAATTAAATTAACAATCTTATAGATCTTTTTAGAAGTTCGGATAACATTTTGGTAACTCCTCTGTTGATTGTGTACCATCATTAAATGTCAGAAAGCATTTATGAACGCACAGTCATTGAACACAACTCTGTAAATTTGTCAGCTGCAGAGGACCCAAACAGAAAAACGCTTGGAGAGATTCGGTTTAAGTTGTTTAACTTCTGGTTTTTTCCACATGTTACAACGATTCAATAAGAGGTGTGAGGACAAATAATTTAATATGTTGTTTAGAAAACCTGCTTGGCTTGTAATGGTAGCTTAAAAACAGCAGTCGTTATCTAGCACGCTGCTTACGTTCCCATCACGGCTAGCAGAAATCGCTAACTAGCTAATGTTGACCCAACAACATTCAGTGGAGCAGAAGCTGCAGCCTCCTTTGCCTTATATTTACCTTCCAAACAATTAGAGACCGACTCATCATCTTGTCTGGTAGCTAGTTTAGTTAAACTGGAACACTTGACAACTAATTTTCACGTGGTTTTGTTGCGTGGAATAACTCCAGAATGGGAATGTGCCTACCGTGCCTTGGTGGAGCAGCAGATGACGTGATTGTCACCCCAGATCCTGTAAGTTCATTTATCAAAACCTATTTTTTAAGTTGTGTCCGGTATCCAGTTAGGATGTTTCTCACGTTTAGTTCAGCAGTAATGTGTTGTACATGATTTGGATTTGTTCTGGGCCTTTTTACTTTTGAGGAGGTAAACACAGGCCCAATACTATATGCTGTGAACAATCTCCTCACCGTTAATTCACAACTTTTTTATTTTTTGTTTTAAACAGGAGACAAGAAGACAACAACTGGCAGAAGCAGCTGAGAAAAGACAAAAAGATGTAAGTAAGGATTGGTTGCAAATTATTGTCCACAAAATGTTCACGGAAACAAGTAGGGATGTGGATACATTTTTAATCCTACACCAATATTAAATCTGACAGCAGATTCCAAAAGAACATTTCAAACCATACAAAATAACACGAAAATCATGAGATTATCTCAAGTATGAGGGAAGTGATTGATGTTTGTTTAGGTGAAATCAGCTCATGTTTTCTTGCTGCAGTTCACAGCAGAACCAATGGGGCCTTTGTGACCATTTCACCTTGTTCTTATCTATTTTTGCTCATAACTTCCTCAGTGTTCAAGATATCGCCATGACGCTTCAGGAAGAGATTCGCATTCTGGTTTTTGTAGGAAGCATCTTGTAATCTAAAAACTAATAAAACTTAATAGCCAATGCAAAAGCAGCAGAAAAGGTATAATATAATATTACAAAGGCAAACTGCTACATCAAATCAAATTAATGTGTCTTAGAAAGTAAGGAAATTAAAACAATTTAAAAACCATGTGGGCATCTGTTTTGTAAATAAAGCTCCTCAACCAATAACAGTGTAGGGGTCATTGTAGTGATTCATTATCATGTTTTAACAACTGCATAAACATTCTTAGTTAAACAACAAATGACTCACGAACAGAAGTGATTGTTCTGTCCATTATCTGATTAAAAGAACTGAGGGGTTCTCTTCCACGGTTAGAATGACCTGTCATGGCCTAAATAGAGTTCAGTTTGTGACAGAGTTCCTGTCCTCTCGTCAGGCCTGTCCGAGGCCTGCCTCGAGGCAGTAAATCTTGTTTCTTCACTCGAGGTGACCCCTACAACAGCGCGTTAAATATGTCAGACGACAAAGACGAGCGTCAACACACTTTGCAACAAGCGCTATTCCGGATTTAAAAAAACATACCATACTTCAACGTTTCAAATCATTTTCAAATTTGGAACAAGGGCAGATAAAATAATGTTCTTCATGGCAGCTTATCTCTATAAGGGCTCACTAAAAACACTCGGGTGATTTGATCCTATTTTCAAAAAACTGTCTCTTCAAAACGCATCAACAAAAATTTAAAACTCAGAGACGAGGCTGTAGCTAACTACCTGACGTCAGTACGCTTTGTTGAAACTCGTAGAAATAACGAAGCAGGAGGAAATTACGAGCGTACGCACCGAGCAGCCTTGCACAATCTGGTCACAGCAGTTTGGGAAGAAAATGGCAGCAGCTGCTGACAAAATGTCAACATCCCTAAAATAGCCAATCATTAGATTTAGGGTGAGTTTTTTTTCTATAGAACTATTTTGCTACAGCATCATATTGACACTTTTTACAGTTTTTAATAGGTATGGTCAAAGTCAATATTTTGCGATGCATTGTGGTATAGATATATTCATGGCAACTTCCGGTTTGTTGAAACATTCTGTTTCAGCTGTGCTCTGAAAAAGGTAGGTTAACCAGCTGCAAAGCCAGATGTTTTAAACAAAATGCATACTGTAAACTTCATATTACAGTAAAGAATGCAGTGACTTAAAAAAAACAACAGAATTGGACATGGAGGTAAATAGATAAGGTTAGAGAGACTAGACTGAGATGGTTTGGACATGTCCAAAGGATGGACAGTGGGTATATTTGTATAAGGGTGTTAGAGATAAAACATAAGAGCACAAGACTGACCCACAGTGTGAAAACATTGCTACCATTTCAATGTCTTTCCCTAAAAGCAGTGTCTAGAAACCAAACTAATTCAAAGCAGACCACAGCTTTAAAACCTCTTTGTAACACAGCTAATTTTATTTAAACAATTCTCAGAGGTCCTGATTAGACGTTGCATTAACATAAGTTTATAAATGGATAGCATTTGGTAAAATTGTTAACTGTAAAACATGTCTGGAGTGTTTTAGGCCCTGTCACACTGATGTATTACAGAACTTATGACAACTTGTGAAATGTTTGGGGACATCTACGTTGAAGATGGAATTTAACTGGAAGCTTCATTTAGCCATTTACACTGTAATGCTAACAAAAACATTTTAGAAGTTGTCTAAAACGTTATAGTGTGACAGGGCCGTTAGATCTCACTTGCCCAGTCTACATGCTAAAGAACATGTAACCATGTCACACAGTGGGCTGTTAGCTGATAAACAGCTCAGAGTCACTTTTGTAGAGTTAGTTAGCTTACACAACTCTTAACAGGCTTGATTACTTATCAGACGTGATATGAGGAAAGTAAAGGAGCCTAAAAAGTCTAGTGACTATACAGCAAAGAAACTGTGACCAGTCTATGATTGGTGCAGAGGTGACCGAAGTGACTTCAATCAGCTCTAAGACGACCAGAACAAACTTTGATCTAAAAGAACTCACCAGCATCCTGGAAATCCACTGATCAATAAAATCTCAACAAAACAGATGAGAAGTTTGATAAACAGTTTCTTCACTTTTTTTAGTCTGAAAAGCAAAAGAAAACAATCAAGAGGACAGTCAATGTTCCAGTATCTGATTCAGTGTAAATGTTTGAGTTTTGCATATCCTACATTTTGCGTAAAAGTACTTTAAAATGTAGTGAGCATTTTGTTTTTACTGTGCAGAAAAGCCACTTTCAAACCAGTAAGAGGCGTGCTAAAGTTACGTCAAGGTAAGTAGATGCAGGCCAGAATTAAACTATACTGTCTGGGTTTGACTAAAACGTTCACAAAAGTCTGCACCAAATCACTGTTTTTTAAAGCTTACATTTTTTTCTGACACTTTCACAATTCAGAGTTATCCAGCTGTAGGTGAAAGCACTGAGTTCTAACCCACGTTTACAGCAGCACCGCAGAGAAACCGAGCCATCTTTTACAGGACTGCTTCATCTTTGCCTCTTATTATTTGTGAAGGAGTGTTTGAAAGTTGTGATCCAAGCTAATGAGAAACACGTTTTGTTTAAAAGAAAAAAAACAAATAAACTCAAAAGCATGCCTGACAAAGCTGTTTCCTGTTTGTGTTCGATCTGTTTCTTTCTGATTTCCAGACGGCGTACAGGGGCATCAAAAATCCAGAAGCAGTTGAAAGGAAAAGGAAAAAACAAGAAGAAATTGAGAAACAAGAGATGACCAGCTCTGTGTCCGGTGGTGGTGGGGGGTTAAAGGTTAGTTTTGGGTTTTAGTCTTAAAAAAAAAAAAAACAAGGGGGTACATAACCTTGACTGCTCAGAAGTTGTGAAAAATTTAATTCAAATTTGTAATTTAATTTGGTAAATATCATAACAATGTTCTTGTAATTGCTTTTTCTGTTGTACAAATACCAGTTTTTCTCTTTATCACGTAAACTTTTCCAACTCTTCATTTTGTTGTCCCCTGTCACCGAGGCGGGGGACTTAAAAATGCTCTCTGTCCGTCTGTTGCAATTTCAGAAAAAATACACCAAACTTGGGATGAGTCATCCATGTTGTATGTTCGACCATACCATGTGGTCTTATGACATCACTAAAGCCCCTCCCCCTGCCAACAGGAAGTGACCCTTTTTTTGGCTTGGACAGCTCTGTCTCTGACCCTCTTGACCAGGGGTGGGTAATCCTGGTCCTTCAGGGCCGCAGACCTGCATGTTTTCCTTTTTTCCCTGCTCCAACACAGCTGATTCAGTCAGTGAATGACTTCTTCCAAGTTCTGCAGGAGCCTGATAATCACCCATTCATTCAGATCAGGTCTGTGGGAGCAGAGAAACAAGTCAAACGTGCAGGACTATGCTCCTGGATGCCTACCCCTGCTCTTGACCTAATCAGCAACAGATTGTGTCAGAACACAGATAAGAACTTGATCTCACTTGCTTTAAAGCACAAACACTTTGACTGAAAGGCGTGGTCATGGCAGAGCTGCAAAGTCAGACATCAGCCAATCCGCACCGAATTTACTGTGGTCAATCCCAATCCACCCCACTACAGGAGTGCAGTCCAATCTGGGGGGTGGCCTAATTACACATTACACCATTGACATACACGTGGCTCTATATTCCACATATTTTAGCTAATCTGCACGCAGTTTGCTTTGGTTGGTCCTAATCCACTTCACTACAGAAATGCAGTCCAATTTTGGGGGGAAGTGGCCTAATTACTCCACAGCACCCACTACAATTATTTTAAAAAATAGCCCCAAGCCATGCTTGGACCTGAAATCATGAAATTTGGTACACATGTGTAATGTCTCAGGGCCTACAAGTCCCTTGGAGTCATGGTCCAGTCCCCACTGGAAGTTGGCCGTTTGGGATCAAAGCTGCCAATTTATCTCTTTTCTTTCACATGTATCTGAGCTGACTCCCCCTACAGATTGAACCTGCAGACTGCTTCTCTCAACACTGACTGGTGGTGGGATGGTGTGGGTGTGGCAGAGTGGCGAGTGCTGCTGCCTCGCTGTTTGCAAACGGTTAGCTCTAAATTACAAATACATGATCCAATCTGCACCAGATTTTGTGTGCATCATCAGGGGGACCTGCTCAACACATAAGTGTAGTAATTTGACGAGATCACTTTAGCCCCCCGTTCATACATCTGTTCACCTCATGACATTTAAACAACAAAGGCCTGTGATGATTCCAATAAAACTTCTAACAGTTGGTCATTACTGAATGGCGATGGGGGACATCAGCGACGTTCAGCTGTCTTTTATTACTTTAATAAAGAGATTAAGGTTGAATGCATCTTTGGGAGAGGTGGGAGTAACAGGAGGTCTGGAGGTTCAGCTTGGCTTGGAAGTAAGAAAGGGAGGTTTTGAGAAACAAAGGTTGGAAACCACTGATTTAGAGGGAAAAATAGATCTGATGGTGCATTAGATGTTTGAGTTTGAACACTTTTTGTCCTTTGTTTTGTTTTTTTCTGCAGTGGCAGGTTGGATAAAGTTCCTGATCGTACCATCTCACCTCTGATGTCCAAACATGAAGTATTTCTACAAGATGACTTGGAAATCTCTTGAAACTGACACCGTTTGCCCTTTATCCCCCGTATTTTTGTCACGAATCATCTGACAAACTTCAGACTTTGTGCAGAACAGTTTCAAACCGTTTCATTCAAAACAAAGTTGTTGTCAACTTTTGGACGAGTCCTGGATGACTGGTATAAGTTTATATTTGATGATTGATTTGGATGTAGACAAACACTGAAGTCAGACTTATTAAGACAAAGGTGTATTTTTATTGTGAAGGATTATTGTAGCTGTTGGTGGCCACATTGTGTGTTTGTGATTTAACTAACAACTTTTTCTGGCTTTCCTCAAAATGCATAATTTTAACACCCACCTGTGATTTAGTTCTGAACCTTTTGACAACATGAAGATTAAAGTTGTTTTGCTTTTCTCTAAAGTTTGGTGATTGTCGTCACCGCCACAGAAGATAACTTCTTTCATCAGGAAGACTGTAAAATGAGTTTTTTTTTTCTTTTTGCTGTTTTATATAATGCTATGAAAACAAACACTTGCATGGTTTAACATTTGGTTTGTGCATCAGATAAATTATTTGCTATCTTTGGTTGTATTTTCGAGCACAATTTCCGCAGCGGCAGGCTACTTCTGCGTTAAAGAAACTAAAATATTTTTATTTTCAAAACGTTTTAGCTCCTGACCCACAAGATAAAGGGGCAGAGGCTCATGAACCCAAATATTGCCAGTTTAACTTTACAGACTTTGCTAATATCACTAACCATAGCAGCTATGATCATATTGTAATTATAATTTATTTTGTAATATTCTTGAAAGTATACCATTAGCATTCATTTTTAAATTTTATTTGCATTCTGAAGATTATCTGAGGACCCTCAATCATGACCCATAAAGGGGTCCCAACCATAATTGTGTGAACTACTGCTCTAAACAGAAGTGATTTATTTATGTTGTGCAAATGATTTCTTGCACTTTAAGATATAGTAGCCTGCTTTAATGGATCGGTTGCACAGGTTGGGTTTGATGACTTGAAGTATTTAAAAAAACACTAATATGTATTGAAGTGATTTGCCACCTTTCATTTTGTTTTGCTGCTTATTTGTACAACAGTTTGCCAACATTTTGGCAATCAGCAAACAGACTTTCCTTCTCTTATAAAACATGAACATGAGGAAAGGACAGTCGGCTTTATAGTCTCGATCTGTAAACGCTTCTGGAGCTCTTGCTATTTTTGTAAAACACAAAATCTTGCCAATTTGCCTATTTGCTACAATAAAATTACATTTCTGCTACATTTTGTGGATTTTGTGCCCATACAAAAGTATTGTATAAATTGTAAAGTCAGTGGAAAGTGACTTCTGAACAAGTCATAGTTACATCAGAAATAAAAGCAGACTCATTATTGGATTGTGAACCAGACATTGCTTTGCAGACTGTAATGATCTGAAGCACCACTAGAGGTCAGCAACACAAAACAAATGGAGGGACTAAATAGTTAGAAACGTTTTTTTTTTACAGATTTAAAGATGGAGCCATCTTGATTAAGACTAATAATATACAATGTCTTCACATCCAAGTGATAAAGGCTTCCAGTTTTCTTCATTTGGAATGCATTATGAAGACAACAGTGGATCAATGTTATTTTTTACAAGAACATCCAAACAGCTTTGTTTTTTTTTTTTGTTGTTGTTGTAAGGTTTTCACTGATCACCCCAATCAGTACCTACTAGAATCAAAGTTTATTGCATAACAAAATCTACATAAATCAATTATGTACTTTTAGAAAGCTGGGAAAAATAAACAGTCCATAGGTATAAAATGTCTTCTTTTTTTGTCACACAGACAAAACTGTGTGACCCAGAATATTGACAAAAATATTGAAATTTCTCTTTTATTTATGTATTTAAACCGTATGCCTCTAAAGGCCCTTTCACATGAATGTTTTAGACAACTTATGAAGATTTACGAAAAATTTGTCAAAACGGCTCATAAGTTATATTCAATCTAATTGTTAGCATTACAGTATGCGTCCAAAAGAGGCTTCCAGTTGATTTTTCTTATTTTTCCAGCTAAACCGTAGACATTGTTGGACAAAATTGTCAGAAGCTGGCATGAGTTAAAACGTTATGGTGTGATAGAGACTTTAATACTCAGTAAGTTCTCCTTCAAGTATAATTATTGATTTGAATATTAAATCTCTGGAATATCTACAATTTTCACTCGCCCCTTGTTTAGCCTGTTCCACTGAAACCAACATAATTTTCAACTCAGTTTTTATAAATGTTAGAAAAACGTAAATAAATTGTCAAAAACAAACTAAATTAAAAAGGTATACAAGCGTATTGGGCTCAGACTCCAACAAACACTCTTAAACTGATCATTATTATTTTACAGGTGTGTTTTCGTTTCTGTGTGAAGGTTTAAAATGTACAAAAACAAAGATGTGTTGCTTTGTTATGAAGAAAACAGCAACACAAAGTCCTCCTCTGTCCTTTAAGTCTTCACTTCTTGCTGCGGTAATGGGCCGCCACCACGAGGTAGCTGTCCGGGCTGAGGTCCTTGATGTTGGGGGACTTGATGCTGATGGGGGAGACCTTGCCCTCCACCCTGGAGATCTGCAGCATGCGGCAGGGGTCGTGTTTCAGCAGGTAGCTCTCGAAGGTCTCCCAGCCTCCGCCGACTCGCACCATCACGTGTTTGTTGTGCAGCATCTGCAAAGCAAAAGGCAAACGGGTTTTAATTAGGCTACCCTTTTGTGAATGCATCCTAACTCACAGCTGAAGTTAAAGGAAAAAAAGATGGAATTATCCACTCTGACTGAAAGAAATTACATTTTTTACCAGCGCAAGTCTTCAATTAAACAGCATGAAACTACTCAAACACAGCAGTGCTTTGGTACAGGACTGTCTTTTGTGGCATCTTTAACTTTCATCTGTTTAGCCCTTCAGCATGTGTCAAACTCGAGGCCCATGGGCCAGATGTGGCCCACCACGGCATTTTAAGCGGCTCACGAGTGCTTCAAAGATGTAGTAAAGTCTTAAAATAAACGTGATGCTCTAAAGCCAGCATCGATCTTAAACTACATCTCCCATAATGCATGGAGATTATTGTACCTGCAAAATAACAGCATCCCATAGGTAGAGGTGCACAGGGTTCAAAAGTAGCTGATGAAATTTGTCTCGTAAAATTTTCATTTAGCTGCATGTTCGATGGCTATTTTTGCTGCAGCCCAGTTGCACTGGTCATAAATTTAATCTGGAACGTTGGAAGAATTCAGAATGTGAGACAACAGCTGCTCACCACAACACAACAGAGAGTAAAAACCTTATTTATTTCACATGTAGTCAGTTGTACACATAGAACTTTTCAGTGTTTAAAAGAGGATGTGTTAAAACACTGTTTCTATGCAGGAAATACCACGTAGAGCTCAGTTATTGTTTGTTAGCAGTGCTCAGTCAGAGCAAAGAGACGAGGCTGGTGACGTTTTTATTTATTATTTAGGCTCAGATGGTAGAACTGATGCCTCTCAGCAAGAAAGTCACCGGATCAAATCCCACCCGGGGACCTTTCTGGGTAGAGTTTGCATGTTCTCTCCGTGCATGTGTGGGTTCTCTCCGAGTACTCAGGCTTCCTCCCACAGACCAAAAACATGACTAACTAACACGGTTAATTGATATAACTCTAAATTGTTCCTATAGGTGTGAGTGAGAGAGTGAATGGTTTTCCATCTCTATGTGTGGCCCTGTGATGGACTTGCAATCTGTCCAGAGAGTACCCCACCCATCGCGCTGTGACTGCTGTGACCCTGAAAGGAAGAAACGGGTAGAGATAATGGATAGATGGATTTTATTAACCTTTATTTAACCAGACAAATCCCATTGATATTTTTATTTATTTATTTATTTTGCAATGGAGGCCTGAAAAACAACCAGGATGCACCAGTAAGATTAAACCTCTATAAGTACATTGTGTAAAATGTATAACAAATCACATACATAATAGTGTTTCGTTTCGTTTTGAGTACCCAGAGTTTCAGTCCCCTGATCCAGGTCTGCCAGCTCAGCTCAAAATATTCATCATTTAAAATCTACCAGAACCATGTGTGTTGTTTTTCCAAACAAGTCTTTTTAG